GATTAAAATGGCTAACAGCAATATCAACAAATTAATATTTATATTTACATGTGTGGATTTTAAAAAACGTCTGTACAAGCAGAAAATGCAAATGTTTCTGGACATTTTCCCACTAAAACTAGTCTTCCAGTCATTCTTTAACAAATTCACCATGTTAATTTATTGTTTAATATTATAGATCTGTTTCTGTATGTTCTGGAATCTTCCCATTTAGAACAGATTTTTATTGTAATTTTGCCTAAGAAGAAAGCTCACAACTCAATTCTCTTAAAAGCTAAATTCAAGAAATCCTGACTGTCTGCACTGTTGTTATAAACTTCTAGAGTTCTGGTAAGTGGAACCATTCCAGGCTAGCTGCATTGCTTCCAAGATGCAAACATAATAGATTCCTGAACTTGGCACATCTCCAAGTAAATGAAAACAAGATCCTACTGTTTAAAGACAAATAATCTGAAGAGCATTCCATCTTTGAAAGGAAAGGAAGCTTCAATGGAAAAGAAAACCATACTCAAGTCCATATGTAAGTTACAGTAAAACATCAATCAAGCACAGAGATTGAAATGCTATTTTGTACAAGATATAATGCTTTCTGTGGCCTTGGATAATATTCACATTAAGAAAACAGGACGCGGGCTAACATTTTGCAAGAGGAAATGCTGTTTGGAAGACAAAGGAAAGGAAGTCAAAGTGTACAGTACACTTACTAATAATTGCAAATGTATATGCTGAGCAATATTACCTAATTAAGCAATTAATAAGTAAATCATGTTCATTGGAATTGTTGTAATAGAATGTGAAGATAGTTAAGAATATGTTATATTTAGATATGGATCTTCTTCTGCCAGTTATTGCAATAGATGCAATAATCTTTAAGAAAGCATGTTTCATTCATTAAGTACAATTCAGAACAGATATCTGAATTTTAAGGCAAAAATTACTGTATTAATGTATCTTCTTTGCAACTTATTAAACCAAAGTTGCATTAACAGCTAAATTATCTTGTAACTCATAATTCTTTCCCATTAATTTCTTTTTTAAGTGTAATTATACTGACCTTTGATAAAGATGCATTTCTGATTACAATTACATGTCTGCTCCACTTTAAGAGCATCTCCACAAGACTTTCATCATAGATTGATTTTATATGAGTCATTAAAATAGCTGAAATTTCTGAGGCAGTTTCAAAAACTGCATGCTTAGTTTAATTGAGATACTTTTTTCAAATCCTTTGCAAAGTCATAAGAAAAAGTGAGCCATGACTTAAGATGTTGTGGTGGACAATGTCAAACATTTTGAGGGAATTTTTTAAATAGGCTGGTTCATTCTGAGCTGAAAAGAAATTTACATTTTTCTCTCCTGCCATTAAAATATCTCTATGTTTATGAAAATTCATGGACCTTGTAGATCAGTGGTTCTCAACCTTTTTAATGCCGCGACCTCCAACCGGTCGTAAGTTGAGGACTACTCAACCGGTCTTAAGTCGAAGACTACTCAACTGGTGCAGTACCGTTTGCAGACTGGGACTTTTGGTTGGCTCAGCAGGGCAGAGACAGCCTGGACAATTCCTATTGGGTTTTGAGAGCCAATAGAATTAGACTCTATTCAAGAGAGTCTATTCTATTGGCTTTCAAAAGCCAATAGAATAAAAGGGAGTAGCACAGCTAAGGAAAAGGGGGAAAAATGGTGGACTGCGTTGTTTGGCGACCCCCGTGAAATGGTTGTTTGACCCCAAATGGGATCCCGACCCACAGATTGAGAACCACTGTTGTAGATTATATCATGGAAACTATGGAATGCTATTTCTTCTTTTTTCAACTGCCTTGAGAAATTTCTAAAAAGATAAAATGTTTTTCTAAAGACTGATTCAGCATACAACAAGGAATAGTCACTTCCTGAAAGCTCAACCTATAAACTTCTAAATAATGAATGAATTAATAAATAAATACTCCAGAAACATGTTCATAAGACAACAGTACAGAACAAAACTAACCTTGAAGTAAAACTAGGGAACTGCCAAACTTGAATAGCAAACATGCAGCGCGTGCAAGGAAACCTAACAATCTTTCTGATTTGGATGATTTCTACAAGTAAAAGTGTGGGATTAAAAAGCAAGAGTAAAGACTATTACTGGCTACAGGAAATGTTTAGAAGCTGCAATTTCTTCCAAAGGAAATGTTACAAAACACTGACTGAAAGGTGTCTAAACTTTGGGCATCTGCCATTTTCACTAGTTTCTTATTTTGAACCTGTAAACAATTGAATGTAAGAATGCATTTAAATTTGTGGAACAATGTTACGTATAGCTTTTTGCCATGTTGAGATTGTGTAAGGTTTTGGTTCAAACATACAATTTGAAAAAGTTTTCATAGTATGCTAACGTTAACATTATTAAGTATACATGCTGTCTAGAGATAATTACTTTTATTGATACAAGGATATTCAATATAGTATGTTCTAAATTTAGTCAACATCTTCAATGGTTACTGGAAAAATCTATAATCATACTTAGTAAGCTATTTCTACGATAAAATGAGGGACCATAAATTTATTATATCTGAAGATTTCAACTTATATTGAATGTTTGTATTCACAAACCAGCAAAGACTTATCAACCAGTGTTATACAGTTTTCAATTATCAGAAAAAATAACTATAATAAAAAGGAAATTGTTCTGGTTTCAGTAATAGAAATTCATATTAAGTGCATTATTTTATTTACCCAATTTCTCTTCCATTACAATCTACACAAAACTATTGATAATACATATTACAAGTCACTTACATTGGAGTAATAAGAATTATTAGTGAGGGGAAGAGTGGGAATGTGTTTTTAAGGAACAATAATTATAGTACTGTAATAAAAATGTTTCAGGAAAAATGACAAAGAATGGAACAGCCCTAAGTCATATTGACATATATCAAATCAATCTTAATGCCATGTTTGACAAATTGTCAATGGTGCAATTCTATATAGAATGAATTACATGCAGTGATGCATCCATCCTTGACCATTTTGAACGCTCAATGGTTTTTAATATCATCAAACATGGTATCCTTTTGTACTGGCTTAGAAGACAAGAGTGGTGAGGACAGTGTGTACGTTATTCTGTTCTAGGATTGTTTGTTGTTGTTGGTGGTGGTAGTCTAAATCAAGCCCTGGGGCTCCTATGATTTTGTGGGGTTCTATCCTCTCCTCATTCTTATTTAACTTATAAATAAAAACACCTGTCATCATGGGTATTATTGGTGCACTGATAATATTCACCTGTACATCTCTACCTCTCAATGACCATCTTTGCCCCCTCACTGATCAAGTGATGATGTTGTCAAGGTTCTTTATCAGTGTCTGCATATTGTGGGTGGAGAGAACAGGCTTTAATCTAATCCTAGAAAGACCAAGTTAATAGGGTTTTTAAGGACCCTGGTCCTGAGGCCTTTCCTTTTTTAGTTTTGGATAGAATGACACTTTCCCAGACAGTGCTGCAGTACAGTTGAGGGAGTCCTCTGGGCTTTTGGATTCTGTGAGACAGGTGGCAATTATGATCATGAATCCGAACTTCACCCTGCATACAACAGGACCCATTCCTGGAGGGGGAGGATCTGCTTATGCTTTAGTCATCTCATTATGGACTACTGCAACACATTCTACAAGGACTGCCCTTAAAGACAACTCAGAAGTTGCAACTGGCTCAGAATACATTTGTGTGGGAAGATATGAGTATACTTTTGTACTCCTACTTTGCAAACTGGTTTCTACTAAGTGGACATGCACCTGGTCCTTCTATTAAACAATGCCATTTAATGGAAGACTGATTTTTCTATTACAATAACTGCCTTATAGAACAACTTAACTATCAAAATCCAGATGGGTCAAATCCTCTTTATCTTTCAAAAGGCACTGACAATATGGATGCTGTGGGCATTGGGTTAGGGCATTGAGCAAACTTATTTTTTTAAAAAAAGATATTTTATGAAGGGGGATGTTAGTTTTCATTTGTTATTTGTCTCGGTGGTGTTTGCTTTTTTTTTAGAAATAGATCCTTTTGTTGTGGTTTTAAAATCTGTTTTAAGTTACACAGAATCATATTGAATTGAACAGCTATATAAATTGAATAATAAATAAAGTGCTGTATAGTTTGTAAGCAGGCCAAGAGGCTAGAAAAGATCAATTTATATTCCAATTCCCCAAAAAATGATCAAACTATCAAATATTTTTTGATATATTGTTTTCTTTTTCTTTTTTTATTTGTGAACTGTCTGGAGGTATATGCAATTGGATAGCCTCAAAACTGAAATAAGCAATTGAATAAATGAAATAAGTTTCATAAGAAGCAGAGGCATCTAACATAACATGGCTTTCTTCTGATGGATGTTGAAAAGGGCAAAGGAATTTCAGAAAGATGTGTACTTGGGATTCTAAATAGCCTTTAAGAAATGGGTGGATCAACACCTCTTCTGCCTTCTAAAGAACGTGTATGGTGGCCAAGAAGCAAGAGTTGGAACAGAAGATGGAAATGTGAAAAATGACCTGAGAAAAAGTGCAACATTGGTCGATGATGGAGGACCTCAATCCTCTAGCCAAGCTCTTCCCCTTCTGTAACTCGTGGCCATAGTAGCTTTGAGACATATGACCAGAGAATGAGGCATCAGGAAAAATAAATCTTGAAATTTAAAAATCAGGTTTATAAAAATAAGAAACAAAGAAGCAAGTTTAGTTTAACTTGGATAGTTAATTTCCAAAACCTTTAAAATGGAATGGAATAAAGTATTTATCTCTGGTAAAAATAATAATAAAAAAAATCCACAGCTTTTCACTGCCCTTGCTTCCCTTCTCTCCTACCACACAAATGAACTGATGCAGAATAAGTAAGAATAACCGCATCTTAAGAGCTTCTACAATTATTAAGAATTTAGCTTTTATATGCAATAAATTCACTATTTAAAAATTGCAAATAAAGTTAACTTTATATTATTATTATTATCAGTAGTAATTTTTCTTACCTGTTTTCCATCCAATGTGCAAATTCTCTTGACAATGCCTGAATCTAACTTAATAGCTTCTGTTATATCAGTCAACACTTGGTCAAAGGAATGAGCAGTTTTTTTATTCAACAAAATTCTCACAGCTTTTCGTGGCTTCACTCCACTGCGTATAACAGTTACCAGTTTAGGTTTAATGAAGTCTTTGCTCTCCTTTATTTCACTTTTTGCAGATATTAAGGATGTGAAGGATCGAGATGACCCAGATTTTATGTTGACAGACCAATTTGGATTAACATTCTTAATGTAATCAACTTTCCGAAATGGCTCATTGGAAGCGCATACATAACTTTCACCTAGGGTGGAGGAAAAAAAGAGAAGTAAAGAAGATGTTATTTCTTTTGTTCTCACTTGATATGCTTTCAATAATCAATTATTTATATGTTTGTATATGTCATTGGAGTATCTGCAAATGCTTAATTTTTGAAATAGATAAAGAAAAATATTAATAAAACTATGGCATTCAAGGAAAACCTTCTGGGTTAAGTTAGTAATATCAAGCCCAGCATTTTTTCTTAGAATAATAAATATATATCATTAGGAAGGTGACAAAGAGAGCATTAAGGAAAGAGATCTTGCATTTTGTTAAAGCCAGGAACTAATATTCAATAGTCTGCTGTCTTTTATATTGGGCTATTAGTCCTTGGTACTAAGAACTAAAATTTACACGACATTCATATTTGAAACAAAAACAATGCAATGGTTTCTCCAGTTTTATGGATTTGGCAGGCACTGATGTTAAATATTCAAGAAATTATTTCCTATTTATGAATACTCTTAATGTTTTCCATGTCAATCCTAGCAATTTCAGACATACATATACCCTCACAATAATGAACCTGAATATAGAGGTTTCATTCTCCATTATGTTCCCTCCAGTAAAACCACATAGAAAACAGTTTGGAACCAGACTTATTAGGATTCCAAAAGGCCATAGGAGCTTGCTTTTCCATAGGGCATAAGTAGCACCTTGTATTGGTGTTCATAACTGATTATGTAGCTGGAATACAAGACACTCACACTTGCTTACAATCGGAATGGTATATGCATCTTTTTAAAACTAACAAATGACATTCAGTTTTAACAAACAGCACAGACCTATAAATTCTATTTTATTAAAGTAGCTAGTGATTAGCCAGCATTTTGTAAAAGAAGAGGCAGAATTTATTAGCAAAATTCCTAGCCATGACAGCCAATCAAAATAATACAGAAGCACTGGATTTACAGTTCTTGCTAGTAAGTTCCTTCCATCCAAAGGAATCTAAAGCAGGGATCCCCAACCCCCAGTCAGTGGACCAGCACCAGGCTACAGCATGCCAGTGGACCAGCACCAGGCTACAGCATGTGCAAACAAGCAAAACCCCGTCCGCGGGCAGCACACAAAACTATGCCCCCTCTGGTCCGCAGAAAAATATTTCTCTATGGAACCGGTCCCTGGTGCCCAAAAGGTTGGGGGCCTTTGATCTAAAGGATAAATTAGGAATATAGAATCAGTATAATAATGTAAGGATACTACTGTAAGTTATCTAGATAATACATTAATATAAACCAAAAGTGCTTAAATTGTATGCCATTATTCTGGGAGGGCAGCCACTTGGGATAAAAGTTGCAAAAAAGAAACACTATCAAAATTCTCTCTGCCTTGCCCTATAAATGATACTGTCAGTGTCACTTCCTCTAAGCCCCATCAGAGCACTGGAAGTAATCCATTGTCAAGGACAATGCAGCACTAATTTGGAGCTTGAAGAATAGGTAAGTGGCCTGGTCTTTTACTCAACTGGAAACAACCATTTTTTTTTCTTTTCATATTTAACCATATCATTGCATTATATTCAATCAACATAAGCAATACTACAGGCTGTTTGGTAGAAAAAAATGTTCTTTCTCAATGAAACTGATACTTCACTCCTTATTCAAGGCCCATCCAAGTCCTCATCTGATTCTCATTTCACCAATATTTTCAAATAAAATTTCAAATTACATGTTTGTTATAGACCTCCTTGATAGCCCAAAGAGGAATTGGGTGTAATTTTTCTTCCACAGCACAGCACTTTTTAAATAAGAGAATTTATGCAGACAGAACATACTACATGGATATGGAAGGAAACCTGACAGTGGCCAGCATGAGCTCTTCCTTCCTTTGTTTTTTCCCCCAGGATCTTAAGGCAGTCAGAAAAGCATCGCACCACACCTGGTATCCAATTATAAAAGGAAAATGATGAGAGCACCAGATTGTCTCTGCGTAGGCATGTTTGGAGAAAGATTTGTGTTGTGTGAGAGAACAGAAAGAAAGGGAGAAGATGTAGCCAACAGAGTGAAACAGCTGTCAGCTCAACAGGCAACTGACAGTAAAGGAAGAGAAAGCTTAAAGTTCACCAAACCAGCAGCATACAAGGTGAAGGGAAAAGTGGAGCCCAACAGCTTTACCACTCCAGCAGCTGGTACAGAATTTTCCTTTTTCTCACCTCTGCACAGGCTGAGAAATTGCCAAGCCAACGTTTAGAACAGCATGCGACAGCAACAAAGGTCAACTAGAATGTGGTTAAATGATGGCTATATTGGTATAAATTCAATCAACAGAATTGTTATAGATTATTTATAGGAATAAGACACAGACATAGCTGTTGCTATATGTGGTGGTCTCCCATGGAGAATGAGACACGCACGCAAGTATCTCGGGATGGGAGCCCAGAGCTGACTCCAACACCCTCTTTTATTGTTACTAAGGTTTTTACATCACACAGCGTAATCAAAAGACGTATATAGGGGTGGTTACAATGTATCGCATAACAGACACTCTCCAGATGCAAGGCTACGCAGGTGTTCTTATCAGACTCTGTCCAAATGGCTGATGAATGTATCCTGTGTCTGGAGCAGTCCGTTTGTTATCTCAAGGACCTTGTGGGAGATGTCTATGGGCATATTTGTGCAATTAATCCCATATCTTCTGCTTTTGTGTTTTTTTAATATTACTCACTTCCAGTTCCAGAAGGGATCTTGATTCACTAATTAAGGCGTCCTTCCTAGTGGAGGGCGTAACATTTCTGCACATTTGCAGGAGGGAGGGAATACATTGAATGCAACAACATAGCAATACAATTAATATCAAAATGGTTACTATAATAGAAATCAAAGATCGTAGCCAGGATCCATCCGGTAGCCAGAACCAAAGGGCACCCCAAATATCCACGGTGCCTGATCCATCACTGCGTAAGGGATTATTTTGTAGCATAAATTCCATTTTCCTGGCTGTAGCAGGAATATTAGGTTGAAAATCATGTATATACATACAACAATAAGAATGAATTAAGGCACATACACCGCCTTTTGCTGCTAAAATAATATCTAAAGCATACCGATTTTGCAAAACTACTTCCCTTATTTCCCCCATTTCTTGATTAATCATTTTAATGCTGTTAATTGTTTCATTAAACATATGAACAGTCCAATTATTAAGCAAATGAAGGTCCCTATAGTTCATGGCAACTCCTAGATTGGGTAATATTCCTCTGCTGATTTGAGTCTCTAAACTACCACCCAATGTTAGGGGTGGATCCGAGGAACTAGTATCACATTTGTTCCGCAGGCGTCCATCAGGGAGATGAGGCAAAGCATATACAGCAGGGGTCAAAAGGCCCAGTGTACAGGTGCCTTTCCAATCCTTAGGCACCTGGCAATAGGCTCTACGGCCACATAATAGCCACATATCGGGTAACTCATAATAACCCTGGTGAGACTCATTAGCAAATGTTATTATGGATTCCATGTCAAGGCAAGCCATGTAGGTACTGATGTTTGTCCATTGATTGCTTTGATAAGTGTCATTTACCTTAGTAAGGTTGCTTTTGATGGATTTGCATTTCTTTGCTGAATTCCATATAATAACTTGTTGACAATTACTATAAGTTCCCAAATAAATGGCAGTACGGAATAGTCCTGTGCTATAAAAACAAAATCTGGCAGGTTCCATTATACGAGCGCCCACAGCATATGTCATATTCAATGTCTCTGTAGTTATGTTCCACAGCTGCTTCCATCCTGTTTCATTGAACGGGATGGCATGGAAAATAAGGCCACCACGACTGTCACCAGGAATTTGCATGCAAATCCAACAGTTCGTGACGTTAAGTGTAAGAGCAGTGCGCCTGGCATCCCGTACAAAAGCATTAAAAGCCCACAGTCCCTGATCCTCATATGCCTGGCTGAGGTGGTGTATGTTGAGCCATATAAGGACGAACACAACGAGCTGGAGTCCAAATGATCTCGCCATGGTCGTCTATTGCAGCGTAGCCTCGACCCCAGGTAATGAGGGAGGCAGGCCCTTTCCAGGTGGGATCAGGCAAACGTCGATAGTATACCTGGGGGGCGTGAAGAATCTGTGGGAGAAGCAGAAAAATGCCTGCTTGCGGCAGTTGAGCCAGGGGTGCCAGAAACATTCAAAAAGTTTAAGGTAAAAATTACAAGATTAAGAGTGTTTTGTATCCCAGGCAAGCCGGGGGTATTTTCCCCTTTCTTTTTTGCATGCATGTCTAGAGCCCTTTTTACGGTCTGATTGGCTCGTTCCACGATCACTTGACCAGTGGAGTTATATGGAATGCCAAATTTATGAACAATAGACCAGCAAGAGCAAAACTGCGCAAAGGAGATGCTGGTATAAGCAGGAGCGTTGTCAGTTTTAATTTCTTTTGGATTGCCCAGGGTAGAAAAGGTACGAATACAATGATTAATAACATGTTTAGCAGACTCACCCCTTTGAGGGGTGGCCATAATAAAGCCTGAATAGGTGTCAATGGAAACATGCCAATATTTCCAGGGGGCAAATGGCAAATTTTGCCTAACATCCATTTGCCAAAGTTGACAGCTCTGCGTCCCTCTTGGGTTGACCCCTTGGGGAACAGAGTGTGCTTGGAGGCTGCAGGTGGGACATTGTTGAATGATAGCCGCAGCCTCCGTAGCTGTTAAAGAAAATTGTTTCATTAAAGCCTTCTTATTTTGATGAAAATATGAATGGCTGTCCCATGGGGTTATGGGAGATAAAACAAGGACAGAAACGTCCTGGTGAGTGGAGGCGGCCGAAGCGGCAGCATCCGCCTTGGCATTGCCTTCGGAGATAATACCAGGGAAAGGTTGGTGACTTCTAATATGAGCAGGAAACAAACAAGTAGAGCGGGAATGAAGAAGGGATTGGAGTGTGAGAAATAGACTGAGGAGAGAGTCATCCAATGAGGGTGACACATATGAATCAGATAAAGAAGTGAGAACTTTTTTTTTTTATTAAAAGTTTTATAAGTTTTAC